CAAACGTTCACTTTACAAAGATATTTTAATTTTTTAAAACAAATTAATCACCCTGTCAAAATCCTTTGTGTTACGGCATTGAAATTCGAACAATACGTTATTTCAATGATTTTGGTTTTTTTTGAGACACCCTGTATATCTCGGGCTGCTCATTTGCAGATAGTGTAATTAACCCACTGCGTGGCAGCAGGGAGCAGTCTCAATCCCCTTAAAATCGTCTGTAGACAGACAGAGTAAAATAATAAAGACTGTCTTTAGGGCTCATCGATCAGCCGACAGGGGACATACATTGTCACATGTAGGTGGGCCTCCTCTACCGGCTCAACTCTCTCTGGTCTTGTGCTTATCTATATATACTAATTCTGCACTGTGATGGGCAAGTATATAAATTTCACACCGCATATTTAATAAACGTTTTAAAATATACGAACATGTAAACAACCACAATTTTTAGTATAAATTAAAAACTGGCAGTCTGGCAATAAAATCACAAAGGCCAGTGCTGACACAAAACAACAATTTCATGCACACAATGTTTAATCGTTAACAATACTTTTATGTCCCCTATTGAAATATTCGCTGTATATATTAATAGGATGATGAGTTTTTGACATAATAATTATGAAGGGTCTAGTGACTCTATAGCCGTCTAGAAATTAAGTTATAAAAAAGTTTCGTGAATCTTACCTGAAAGAATTAGTCTTTCTTTGTAGTCTTTGTAGTGAAATGCTGCATCCACAAGCGAAGCATACCCGCACCCTCGCTCCGCGTTGTAAAACAAGTAATGTTCGAGGGAAATATTAAGATTTTTTACTTAAAAACAACAGAAAATTCGAGAGAAAACTTTATATCTATATCGTAATATTTGCCCAAAAACCAGGGGGGTTAAGGACATCGTCGGAAGTTTAGGATCGCGGTTGGTCAGTGGCAGTTACCATGAAAATAAAGTAAGTGTTGTCATGGAAATGGCGTAATAGCCGCCATGTTTTCGGCTTCACTTGATGATGCCGAGCAGGTCCTTCAGTAATATAGTATAGCTCAGTGTTACGAATACTGAGCAGCTGAGGCAGCTGGGAAATTTGTCTGAGCATGCGCCAGATTAACCAAAATTTCCATTGAAACTTGAAGATTTCCCCGAAGAAATATAGCGAAGACGCTCGCGGTTGTTGTATATTTTTCGAGATATTTTTGAATGCCTGTTTAAACTTTATACTTTTTTGCTTGAGTCAAAGACAAAGTAAAATGTACTCTACGTTTCCAGTCTATAGAATATCTGTTTGAAGAGCAATAGAATATTATAATCCTCACACAAACAAGACTGAATCTGATGCTCGGTATAAAACGCCACTGAATCGTCGCGAGCTTCACAGCCTTGTCAAACGCAAAACAAGTACAAATTTTGGTTCAAACAGAAAGAAGTTCAATGTTAATACGACTAGCATATATTCTACTCAAATACGGGCGGTTTAAAATGTATTTCAATTGAATTTTTAAAGCTTTTATCTATTGATATGATAATCAAACTGTGGCGAAAATGCCGGCTTTTGTTGACGCCTTGCGAATGCAAAATAACTCCCCGTAAACAACATATTTCTACAGCAAACTCTCGCTTAGTCTTCAGATGCACTTGTATGTTCGGTTTTACGAGTTAAACAAGGAAAATATCCAAGAAACACTGGTAAATTATCGTTGTCAAAAAACATTTCAGTGCCGAGGCAGTAGCAAGATCTCAAGGGCAAGTCAAGTTGTCGATTTCATTACATTTTCATAAATTTCACAGTACTTCGAATGTTTTCGAACTCTTGCGTCATACAAGAGTAAACGCACGCATTTCAAAGCGAAATAAGACCCATAAGCGGAATTTTTCAACAAAATTTATTGTTAAATTCGGTTTCCTATATGTGCCTTGGGCGCAAAAAAATATGATTTTGAACTTGGAGCAATAGGCAAATTTTTTTGCAATTTGGCCTGGTATTGCACCCTACCTATGTACTGACTGTGCTGCAAAAATAATCAAATATACTATTTTTAATTTCCCTTCATTGAAAGGATCTAATATTGTGGACCAAACTAAATCTTAATCAGCATATAAGGCTGCAAACAACAGCCAAGTATTAGCTGGGTAGTTTGCAAACTTTAAAAATAATTGTACCTCAAACTTTGACCTCCAAAAGTAAACAAATAGCCAATACTGCAAACATAATCCAAGTTTTGATGACTAAGCGGAATTTTTAAATGTAAAAAAACTTGTTTAAATTACACATTAAACAAAGGCAAAACAAAATTTGGTATTCATTTTTTGGAGCAAAAGTCAAGGTTTTTTGTAGCCTGCTCGCAGGCCGTTTGTCAGGCAGAGGCTGCGAGGTACGGCCTGCGACCTTTATTAGTAAAAAGTCGATTTGTGTACGGAGCGTACGCAAAATTCCCATTGGTCAGAAGTGCCCCATGAGTTAATATCGTGCAAATATTTAACTCGTACGACATTTCGCAATGTAATTTTAAAGCTGGCATTCAATCAGTGGCGTATAAAACCATGACTTTGTTTATCTCTTCAAAGAAGTAACTGAATGTATTTGAGAAACTTTCAATTTAAATTAACGTTGAATGATGAGCGAAGGTTAGCAATATTAACTGTACTTCCAACGGGATTTGATAAAAGTTCAATCTGACCAATACTTTGTCTTCGTCAGCTATAAACCATTTCCAAAGAAGTACAAGGGAAAACTTCGACGTATGCCTTGCTGATCTTTGCAGAGAGAGTAAAATAAGTCTAGTTCAGGCTGACAATTTATCTAACCGCGTTTGCATCACTTGCGGCAGAAATCTTCGAGACTTTTGTGTGTGTTTTCAAACGTTGAACAACTTAGCCCAGCGAGACGTTCGTTGAGACACAGGCAGTGAATCAGCTAATATAAAGCAGTTGATTGTCAAATGCCTCCGAACATTTCTCCCAAATACTTCCCTGTCAACCCAAGGCTTTCTGCCTCAACAATCTGGTCTTGAATAATCCAAGACAATGGGCAAATTATTAAAACAGACGCCGTCGAGGAAAGTCGTTCTTAGAACACCTGGCCAATTTGAATTTACACCTGGAAATTTTGCAATAGTCGTTTGCGTGTTCTTTGACCGAAGTCCGCTCTCTCTTTGAGACTTTCTTTTTGGGAGTCTCAACTAGTGACATATATTATTACAACAAGAGCTTTTTTAAAAAAAATGTAGTTATTAAACACGGCAGAATCGATGCCGCGGCCACGGGTTTTCAAATTGTCTATTGTCTATTGAGTTAATTGTATTATTGAGCAAATGACAGACTTCACGCAATAATGATTAATGTTGTTTTTTAGCCTGCTATTGTTCGACACTTTTAATAAATAGTGTTTGTTCAAAACCTAAATACGTTTCCTTAAATCTTACAGTTATATTTTGGATATAAATGTATAAAATACATTAACTAATAGAGAATAAAATTTTATATATTTAGTTACAGTTATATTTAGTATAGTTACATAATTTAAAACGGCAATGTATACGAACAAGACAGCAATATACAAACGGGACTATGTTTTAAATATTAGAACACTTTAGGGAAAAAACGACCATGCATTATTTTAGATTAAAGTTTAGACCTTGGAATCCTAGTGAAAGATACAGGCGTAAAATTGCGCGAGAAACTGTTTGTTGTTGTTAATAACCTCTTGTAATCTAATTAACAAAACTTACTTTGATTGGCTACTATTTACCGGATATTCAATTATCTCAAAGGGGGCGTATTGAAAAAATATCAATAAAAGTCGCAGGCTCTATATATATAGAGCCTGTGAGCAGGCTAGGTTTTTTGCTGTCCGCCCACGCTTCTACACCCCCTCTCCCAGGATCTTCTATCTCAAAAAACAGTTTTCTGCACAAACTATGCTTTTTTCTCGGGAAAATGTTTCTTTTTCTTAAAAAACACTTTATAAACATGGAAACCTCAAATATTTAAATAATTTTCATACCTTTTTGGGATTGCAAAAAGCAAAATCTGATTCATTATCCCACTTTTTAAAATATATATGAGAAAGTTGCTTCGAAATCACTATCACGCAGTAGCATGTTTCCGTTTACCCTGATCATTTTGACTGAATAGAGTTTATCTTTTTGAAAAGCGATTTTTGTTATAGCTCTTGGTTACTGGTTTACGTTTATGTCGATTTTGGTACCCATGAACCAACAAGTTGCAGTAATCCTCGAATGAAAATGGATATTCGAAGAGCATAAAAGCCAACTCCTAGCCATGTAACTTTATCGCCTGAATTTTGAATCATTCCACAAACTAAAATGCTGATAATGTAGATGCTTTCCATACTTGAGATGTTAGTGAAGTTTTTCCTACAATTTAATTTCCTTGATCGTCGTCTTAAAAATGCAAAATCATCAGTTGAAATTTCACTCGTCTTGTTTTTTGAAATTTTCGAATTTTTGTAAAATATCACGTGCGCCAGCAATTTCTCTGTAAAGCGGCAGCAAATTTCCCAGCTGCTGTAATTACGAATACTGCATGTTGAAACAATGTTTGGAAAATATAGGCAAGGGGTTGTTGCATGCATGTATTTCTAGTTTAATTTAAATTATATGCTGATGCGAGGGTAATGTATTTGGGTGTTTATGGATAACTACTGTTGTGGAAAAATCAATCTGGTGAAGACAACAGTCAAGGCATTAAAAAATACTAACCATTATAAGGCACGGATAACACAGTTGCTGTTTTTCGTTGAGTCGTAGGAATGAGCCTAATCTCATTTTTACCATTCAGTGTGACACGTTGTAATGATACTGCGTCGTAAGCCATAAATATTAAGGCATCAGCTCTTCTTACTTCCAAATTGCGCGACATAACTTTGCCTGGTTCTAGTCGAAGGAATTGTCCCGATGGCTGGAAACTTCTCTGAATGAAGATTGCTTGTGTGCGAAAATTCTTTATTGCGAAGGAAGCAAAATACGGCCCTAGAACAGAAATAAATAATCAATTATACATACATATATTATAAAATTTACGAACTTCACATCTTTGAAATTTTAAATTCGTTTTGATCCACTGTTATAATGAAACAATCGCAGTTCACATTGCCAACAGAGATTCAAAATCTCTGAAAGAATCGACTATCTTGTGAACAAGAGCTAGTATTAACGACCGGAAATTGCGCAGAAAAATGGCTATGTCGCTGTTGCATGCAATCAAATTGTAAGTCTAAAGTGCTCGTACTGTAATTATGCTTGAGTCACCTAATATCGTTTTTGGGCCGTTTTATTAACCTCAAAATCTTACTAATAAATAAAGTCTTAGTGAGCAATACTTCGCCTCATTAATATTCAATACAGGTTAGCCTGCATGGCAGGCGGTACGTAGGAAATACCGCCTGCCACAAAACTGGGTGTAAATGAACTACCGCCCCTGAAGCATCAACGCTATTTATAGATGCATTAATTAAGTAAATATTCAAAATTAGCCACTCCCAAGCTGCTCCCAAGTCACAACTGCCCAACATAAAATAAATTC